AGTACTGGATTGCTACATACCCAAGTAATGCTCATGTACTCTAACAACTTCACAAAGTCCAGGGTCTTCAGAGTCCAGGGGCAAAATTCCTAAAAATCAAAATAAGATATTTAAGGGATATAAGTCAAAAATTCATTCCTAATGAGAGGCCAGTAAGTATTATTACAAATTTTATTCAGTGGAATTTTGAGGAAGGTTCCAGTAATTACTAGGGTGGATAAGAAAAAATTCAGAAATAGGGAAGTGCTCTGTGCCACTCCTCCTATCTCTTTCTTCTTTCCCCTCTGAGTGATAGTAAGATGATGGCTGATGTTATAGAACGAAGTCAGAGTCTTGGGAGTATCTGGACTCCTTGCTAAATTTCTCCCTGATGGGCCGGGCGTGGTGGCTCACACCTGTAATCCCAGCACTTTGGGAGGCCGAGGCAGGTGAATCAGGAGTTCGAGACCAGCCTGGCCAACATGAAGAAACCCTGTCTCTACTAAAAATATAAAAAATTAGCTGGGCATAGTGGCGGGTACCTGTAATCCTGGCTGCTCGGGAGGCTGAGGCAGGAGAATTGCTTGAACCTGGGAGGTGGAGGTTGCAGTGAACAGAGATTGCGCCACTGCATTCCAGCCCGGGTGACAGTGCGAGACTCCATCCCTCAAAAAAAAAAATTGTCCCTGATGGGTTGGGCAAGGTGGTTCACACTTGTAATCCCAACACTTTGGGAGGCCAAGGCAGGAGATCACTTGAGGCCAGGAGTTCAAAGCCAGCCTGGTCAACATAGTGAGACCTCATCTCTACAAAAGAAAAATTTAAAAATTAGTTGGGTGTCATGGTGTGCACCTGTGGTTCTAGCTGTTGAGGAGGCTGAGGCAGGAGGATTGCTTGACTCTAGGAGTTCAAGGCTGCAATGAGCCATGATTACACCACTGCACTCCAGCCTGGGATAAGAGCAAGACTGTGTCTCAAACTAATAAACAAACAAAATTATCCTTGATGCATGGCTACCTTCCTATAGTTTGGTTCCGTAACATACCTCAGTACTTTTCTTCTTTTTTTTTTTTTTGAGACACAGTCTCGCTCTGTCGCCTAGGCTGGAGTGCAACGGCGTGATCTTGGCTCACTGCAACCTCCGCCTCCTGGGTTCAAGCAATTCTCCTGCCTCAGCCTCCCCAGTAGCTGGGATTACAGGCATGCACCACCATGCCCGGCTAATCTTTGTATTATAAGTAGAGACGCAGTTTCACCATGTTGGCCAGGCTGGTCTTGAACTCCTGACCCTGTAATCCATCCACCTCAGCCTCTCAAAGTGTTCACAGGCATGAGCCACCACACCCGGCCAGAGTATGTTTCTAATAAAATCCCATTTTTCTTCTAAGGTAGTCTGATTTTATTTTTGGTTTCTTACAAAAAGAATCTTGAATAATACAGAGTGCCACTGATTTCCTGAGCAGAATAAAAAGATAAGAAAGAAATAATCAATTCTCCAGGATAATGCCTGAGTCAAAGGCAATACCATAAAATGATGAAAACCTTCTTACAAATCTATCCTTTAAGAATTTCAAGCATGCTATAAGGCTAAATACTTTTTCTTTCTTTCTTTTCTTTCTCTTTTTTTTTTTTTTTGGACAAGGTCTCTCTCTGTAACCAGGCTGGAGTACAGTGGCGTGATCATGGCTCAATGCATCCTCAAACTTCCAGGCTCAGGCAATCTCCCACCTCAGCCTCCCGAGTAGCTGGGACTACAGGTGTGTACCACCACACCTGGCTAATTTTTGTATTTTTTTTGTAGAGTCGAGCTTTCGCAATGTTGCCTAGGCTGGTCTTGAACTTCTGAGCTCCAGTGATCTCCCTGTCTTGGCCTTACAAAGTGCTAGGATTACAGGTGTGAGCCACTGCATAATATATGTTATATGGCCCTATATAATACATGTTATATAAATGTTTTCTAACTTTATGTCTTCCACAGAGAAATGGAAATTTCAAAGACTACTATAAAAGTCATACCCTATATTTCTGTTACTGTCTAGGATGCAGGTTGCAACTATAAAAGTCATAGCCTATGTTTGTGTGACTGTCTAGCATACAGGTTGCCAAATTTCAAAAATACTATGGATTTAAAAAAAAAAAAACAATAAATTAAATGTTTCAAGTCAATTTTTAGTTTTACAAGATTTGTAAGAGAAAAGCTCTGTATGATTTCAGTTGAAACGGTGCATGGAGCTTCTATATGGCCCAGTCAGTCAGCAGCCTTCAAGAATGTGATTTGTGACTTTCCTTTTCCCTAAAGACTTCAGTCTGGCCACAGACTAAGCATCTGCCAGAAAATCTAGGCTATACCAAGTACTATAGAAACTATGACTATCTTTTTATCTGTAACATTGTTCTACAGCTAAATATTAAAAAGTTTTAAATGTTCTGCTATTGCAATCAAGGTCCCAATTTTTATCATCAATAGAATTGGACAGTAAATTTCAAAAACCAGGAAAGTCTTTCTTTTTTTTTTGAGATGGAGTTTCATTCTTGTTGCCCAGGCTGGAGTATAGTGGTGCGATCTCAGCTCGCCACCACCTCTGCCTCCCGGGTTCAAGCAATTTTCCTGCCTCAGTCTTCTGAGTAGCTGGAATTACAGACATGTGCCACCATGCCTGGCTAATTTTGTATTTTTAGTAGAGATGGGGTTTTTCCATGTTGGTCAGGTTGGTCTTGAACTCCTGACCTCAGGTGATCTGCCCACCTTGGCCTCCCAAAGTGCTGGGATTACAGACGTGAGCCACCACACCTGGCCTGGAAAGTATTTCTATATGAAGCAAGGTCACAGTGAACATTAATAGTTATATAGAAAAAACAGAGATGACAGTAAAATAGATGATTTGAAATAAGACTATGAACTATAACTTACCAACTACTTCATCATCTGGTTGAAAGAATGATACCTTGCTTCCAACTAAAGAGTGAAGAAAATTAATAGTTAGTATTACAAATTTATTAAATGTAATTCTTAACTATTAAAATACATTTTTAAAGTCTGTGGATTTGTAAAAAGACTGATTTTATTTTACTTAGAAAAAAGGCCAAAAATTTCAGTAACATTTTGATGGTCTATAAGGACTACAGGATATACACTTCAAATCCGGATTCTCTAGATATTTGGACTATGTGATTGTTGAGACCAGGAGAAGTACGTCTCTCTTTGCCTATTTAGCTGACCTTTTTTTTTTTTTGAGATGGAGTTCTGCTCTTGTCACTGAGGCTGGAATGCGGTGGCGCGATCTCGGCTCACTGCAACCGCTGCCTCCCAGGTTCAAGTGATTCTTGTGCCCCAGCCTCCCGAGTAGCTGGGACTACTGGCATGCACCATCATGCCTGGCTAATTTTGTATTTTTAGTAGAGACAGCGTTTCATCATCTTGGCCAGGCTGGTCTTGAACTCCTGACCTCAAGTGATCCACCTACCTGCCTTGGCCTCCCAAAGTGCTGGGATTACAGGTGTAAGCCACTGTGCCTGGCCTCTATTTAGCTGACTTTAAGGAAGAAGGAGTAAAGGAAAATAATCTATAGCTTCTATGATAATTATATTGTTTTCTACTCCTTCTGTGGCTAGCCCAATCTATCTTTACTTTTGTTGCCGAATCTCATACAACAGGGAATTCTGAGAAGGTAGCAGGACAAGCCGCAGACAAAACCCCTCAGACACCAAGTTAAAGAAGGAAGGGCTTTATTCAGCTGGGAGCTTTGGCAAGACTCATGTCTCTAAAAAACAAGCTCCCCGAGTGAGCAAGTCCTGTCCCTTTTAAGGGCTTACAACCCTAAAGGGGTCCGTGTGAGAGGGTTGTGATCCATTGAGCAAGCAGGGGGTATGGGACTGGGGGCTGCATGCACCGGTAATCAGAATGGAACAGAACAGGACAGGGATTTTCACAACGCATTTCCATACAATGTCTGGAATCTATAGATAACATAACCGGTTAGGTCAGGGGTGGATCTTTAACCAGGCCCAGGGTGTGGCACTGGGCTGTCTGCCTGTGGATTTCACTTCTGCCTTTTAGTTTTTACTTCTTCTTTCTTTGGAGGCAGAAATTGGGCATAAGACAACATGAAGGGTGGTCTCCTCCCTTAAGAAGAGTGACATTAAAATGATTTTGATTTGGGAAATAAATTCAGGTTGATACCAAGAAGTTTTCTGCAACTTTATGGAAATGATATAGTTACATTTTCTCTGCATATGTAGAGAAAAAGCCTTGACTATCAGTCAATTCATTTGAGTAGTTTCATTCAAAGAGTTACAAGAGGAAAAGGGAGGAAAAAACCGCAAATATTATTGAATGCCTCCTTGTGCCCAGCATTGTTGTGTATTTATACATTTAAACTTCACAATATACCAATAAGGTAGGTATTATTCCTTCTATTTAACAGAAAAGGAACTGAGGTGAAGCAGTGAAGTAAGATGGAAACCTGAATCTGGAAATGGTCCCTTCGACTGGCTCTGTCAACAAAATGGCCCCAGAAGGCATTTGTTGCCACTAGCAAGTAATTTGAAGCCTGGTATTTCTACTTTCAAGCCCTCCTTTTGGAGTGTGCTCCTTCTTTGGCTCCCTCCTGTGCCATCATCCCCCAATCCTTTTGGCTTCTGATTCACTGTACTTTTCTCTTTCCCTTCTACTGCTGATCCCTGTCCTCCTAAGGTCACTCTGACTCTTTTTTTCTTGCTGTCCTTGATACTCCTCTTCTTTTAACTGACCCTCAAACAGTGCATTCCAAAGGGTTCTTTGTTTACATCTCTCATCCTTTTCCACTCTCTCTCTCGGAGAATTCATCAACTCTATTATTTCAAATACAACCTACATGCTGACATTTCTCAAATATATACTTTCCAGCATAGATCTCTCACCCTTAAGCTTTAAACTCATTTAATTGCTTACTAGATATTGCCAGTGAGACGTCACTTAAGTACCTTGACTCAGTAAGTATAAATCTGAACTCATAATGTTCCTCCTAATTGGATCATCTTCCTTTTTTTTTTTTTTGATTTAATAAAGTTTTATTTTTCCAAATGTACAGTTGGTTGGACCTATTCATGCATCTTCACCAGCAGCTGGAGCATCTCCGCCCTTGGTATTTCTGGTGTAAATTACTTGAGCTCTGTGCTTTGAAACCAGTTTGATAAGTCCTTTACTAAGGAGCTCCTGAAGGACTGCCCTGGCCATAGAGCCTCAAATCTTCAGTCTCTCAGAGACCACAGCTGGGGTTATAAGTTTATAGTTGGGAACTTCCTTAGAGAGTTTGTCATAGGTAGCTGTGTCAAACAAGACTAAGTTATTGAGCTTGTCCCGAACTTTGCCTTTGGACCACTTCTTCTTTTTGGCCTTGCCCCCGGATTTGCTCACCGGGTCTTTGTCTTTCTTGGCCGACTTTCCGGCGTCCTTCTTCTTCTTGTCGTCCTCGGGCGGCACTGTGAGGCTCGGAGAGCAGCAGCAGACACTGCAGCCTCACTAAGATGTTGGACGGATCTCTTCCTTTATCAAATGTTGGTTCCAATTCAAGCCTGAACCAGAATTCTGTAAGCCATTCCTGGTTCTCATCTGTTTTTAATTTCCCAGTTCCAATGAATTACTAGGTTCTGCTGACTTTATTTCCTCAATATGTCTTGAATCCATCCCGCTTCTCCACCTCTGCCAGCACTGTTGAGGTTGTGGACTTTGCTGTCTCTTGCCTCTTGGTCTACAACCCAACCAGTCCTCTCGCCTATAGACTTGTTTGCCTCACATCCACCCTTCCTTCAAACGGCTACTCTAATAATCTCCCTAAAGTACGATCTGATACCTAAGTCTCAACTAAAGGTCTTGGCCCTTGCCTATCCTCCTGCTTTATTTTTGGAAGGCAGGAATTAGTGTTCACATCATCATGAAAGTATTTTGTGCAGTATCTTTTATTCTGCAATATTTGAAAGAGAATTTTTTTTTTTTTCTTTTTTCTTTTTTGAGACGGGGTCTTACTCTGTTGGCTCAAACTCCTGGGCTCAAGCGATCCTCTCACCTCTGCTTCCCAAAGGCTGGGATTACAGGTGTGAACCACCACACCCAGCCCAGGAGGAGAATTTTCTTGACAAAATGTTTCTCTGCTAGCAAGTACCATGCTATTGACGCCTGCCCAGGACTTCATCTTGCTCTAGCAATACCAAACTCTTTGTAATTCTTACACACATCCCACTTTCACTTGCTTGTCTTTGCTCATAATATCCTCCCTGCTGGGTGTGATTCTCCACCTGCCTGCCCCTTATTATTTGGACATCTTACTCCAAGACGCCTTTCCTGTTTCTTCTGGCCGGGTTAAGCAGCTTTCTTCGGAGCTTACATAATAATCTGCTCACGTATGTATTTGTCTCTCCCCTAGAGAGTGAACTGTTTAAGGGCAAGGACTTCATTTCACTTATATCCTAAGCACTTAGCAATTGCTCACTAAATGTAGAATGAATGATCATCTGGTTATTATATTTATTTTTCTACAGACTGAGAAAAAAGGAAACACAATTATCATTTAGCTTTGTCAGAAGATTACATAGAGTATCAAATCTATTATATGTTAAAATCACAGGTAAAACTCAAATATAGTCTAACATACCTTAACACATTTATTCATTCGCATACGAGGTAAGAGCAAACACATTAATCATGAACCACCTGTTAGTGAATATTAAGGTCTATTTAGAAATAAATTATATCAAAAGCCTGATATAAGGCTTACTGTTCTGTATGTTAAGATCATTATTTCATCATAAAAAGACAATATTGGTCATTCTATTCAATATATGATCACTTATGGATTTAAATATATAACCCCTAAACATTTACTACACTGTAATAAGCTCTTCAATTATAAAATACCAATTAAGTCCTATTTTTCTTTTCAATTAAAAATAAAAAGGGCCAAGGACAGTGGCTCATGCCTGTAATCCCAGCACTTTGGGAGACGATGTGGGCAGATCACTTGAGATCAGGAGTTCGAGACCAGCCTGGCCAACATGGTGAAACCCATCTCTACCAACAAATACAAAAATTTGCCAGGCGTGGTGACGAGTGCCTGTAGTCCCAGCTACTTGGAAGGTTGAGGCAGAATCGCTTGAATCTGGAAGGCGGAGGTTGCAGTGGAGTGGACATCATGCCACTGCACTGCAGCCTGGGTGATAGAGTGAGACTCTGTCTGAAAAGAAAAAAAAAAAAAAAAAGCCAGACAAAGCCAGGCATAATGTTGTATACCTGTAGACCAGGGGTGTCCAATCTTTTGGCTTCCCTGGGCCACACACTGGAAGAGAAAGAATTCTCTTGAGCAACACATAAAATACACTAACACTAAATGATAGCTGATGAATAAAAAAAAAAAAATCACATTTAAAAAAAAAATTAATTAATTTTTTTTTGAGACAGAGTCTCCCACTTGGTCGCCTAGGCTGGAGTGCAGTGGCACGATCTCGGCTCACTGCAAGCTCCACCTCCTGGGTTCATGCCATTCTTCTGCCTCAGATTCCTGAGTAGCTGGGACTACAGGCGCCTGCCACCACGCCCAGCTAATTTTTTGTATTTTTTTTTTTTTTTTAGTAGAGACGGGGTTTCACCGTGTTAGCCAGGATGGTCTCGATCTCCTGACCTCGTGATCCGCCCGCCTCGGCCTCCCAAAGTGCTGGGATTACAGGCGTGAGCCACCGCGCCCGGCCTTGTATTTTTAGTAGAGACGGGGTTTCACTGTGTTAGCCAGGCTAGTCTTGATCTCCTGACTGTGATCCGCCCACCTTGGCCTCCCAAAGTGCTTGGGATTACAGGCGTGAGCCACCGCGCCTGGTCAAAAAATCACATAATGTTTTAAGAAAATTTACGAATTTGTGTTGGGCTGACTTCAAAGCTGTCCTGGGCCGCATGCTGGTTGGACAAGCTTGCTGTAGACTCAGCTATTCAGGAAGCTGAGGCAGCAGGATCACTTGAACCCAGGAGTTAAAGCTGAAGCTATGATCAGGCTTGGCAACACAGAGAGACCTTGTCTCTCAAAAAAATAAAAATAAAAATAAAAAAGGACATTTTCATATAATTAAATTTAAATTTCAAAGGCTGTATATAATTTTATGTACCAGGAAACCAATTAGCTACCATTTAATTTCTTTTACCTTAGAAAATAAATACATATACTCACATCTGTATACTTACCATCTAATACAATTCCAGCAATTTCTCTCCCAACAGGAAATAAATCCTTTTTCATCTTCATTTCTGCCAGAAGCTAAATCATGACAAAGGCTGTTAACATACTATCGTCAGAAGAAATCCTGGACTCTATTTTAATGTGTGAGGAAAGCAAGAGCAAAAGTCAAATCACAGAAAGAGCAAATATGGTTCAAGTTTTGGAATTAAGACAAAGCAAATAACTTCACAAAATAGGTTTCTCTAAAGGGTAGGAAACGAAGAATTTACTGAGGCATTAGTTGATCTGCAGGACTTAGGAATGAATATTCTTATTCAAATTACCATTAACATCCTTTGTTTAACCTCTTTACTCTGCCAAGTATGAAGGGAAATTATGGCCAAAACATTTCTTGGTTGTCTAAACACTATCAGTCATCTTATTCAGGTGAAGGGAGGGTAGTCTGGAGAGAATACTGTTGAATAAGGGGGTGTGGCCAATGAGAACAAAGGGTTCTCCATTCCCATACCCTTTAAAATCACCTGAGTTGTTAAAAGCCTTGGGTTAGGGAGTGGGTGAGAAGTAGTGATGAATATTAACAGTAATCTCCCATATAATTTCAGATTCATGGTGACTGGAGTTTCTTTTCATTAAGGCTACATTTTTAAGAGATTGGTATTTTATTAGACTGTGACCAAATTAATTATAAGTACTTGTCTTTTGAAGTAACACGGTGTACTAAGATAAGCCTGTGGTTTAAGCTCCTGGCACTTAACATTAGAGAGGCTGAACGTATCTGTAGATACCATAATATTTTAGGAACAGTAAGTAAAAAGAAATTGAAATAATTCTCTTCTACATTTATTTTTCAATTTTCTGATCTCCTGTATGTATACCTGATTGTCAGAAGTCTCTTATTCAATATGGAACACTATACTTTTCTTAAGATGTTCATATGACATTCTTATAGAAGTACTGGGTGTTTTACAGTATTTCTTTTCTTTTTTTTTTTTCAGATGGAGTCTCGCTCTGTCACCAGGCTGGAGTGCAGTGGTATGATTTCAGCTCACTGCAACCTCTGCCTCCCAGGTTCAAGCAATTTTCCTGCCTCAGCCTCTCGAGTAGCTGGGACTACAGGCACGCGCCACCATGCCCAGCTAATTTTTGTAATTTTAGTAGAGACGGGGTGTCACCATGTTGGCCAGGATGGTCTCGATCTCTCGACTTCGTGATCCGCCTGCCTCGGCCTCCCAAAGTGCTGGGATTACAGGTGTGAGCCACTGTGCCTGGCCACAGTATTTCTTTTATGCACATTTGTATGGAGTTAAAACCATGGTTTTAGCAATTACATCCTGGCTCCTTCACTTACCATAAGCATTTTCTTACATTACCCACACAGTTTTCATAACCATTATGCTTAACAGATGTGCAATATTTCATTCAACTGATTTTACCATAATTTACTATTTATTTCTGTTAGACAAGGAGATTATTTCCTAGGCTTGGATTTTAATGGATTTTTCAGTTTAAAAAAAAACATCTGAAGACAGAAATCTGCAGACAAGACCTAGTACTAGTACTCTTGTGAAAAGACTTCAGGGTATCCCACTAATGCATTTGTCAAGTCATGCTCATGTTACAGAGTTGCCCAATGAAAGCCTATACTCGGTCTGTAATTTCCTAAGTGTGACTTTATCAAAGAAGACTTTTAGATTCCTAAAAATTATAGTCACATTATAATCCAATAAGTTATGGGTCATGTAAACTATGGCATTAATCCTAAAAAACAAAACAAACAAAAAAATGGAGTAAATGGACCTGCTCAATTTATCATGGCACATTTAACCACAGTTTATTTACCACTGAAAACGTTCTATGTATTTCATGGTCAATAATGAAAGATTACTGCAGGGCAGTGTGAGGTAGAGATGTATGTTTATGAGAGAGCAACGCAAAAAGAAATGACAAGAGAAAGATGAACCATAACTAATGATATTAATTAAATATCTAATTGGTAGCTAATAAACTGATTAGGTTTCTAGTTTCTATTTTATTATTTATTTCTTCCTTAATAATAGACTTTGTTAATTATAAACTGTTTTCTGCAATGTAAAGGAGTTTATAAAATATTATAAAATATTTACATTAAATATTTCTATTTTCTTATAAAATATTTGTATTTTCATATAAAATATGTAACTTCAATCAGACTAATAATGTCCCTTATACAGAAATATACAAAAGCACACTAAATTTTCTCCCCTAGCTGTTCTATTCTTCTAAAGATGGTAGGCCGGGCACAGTGGCTCACGCCTGGAATCCCAGCACTTTGGGAGG